TTCGATTCTCGGTCAGGGAGAGTCCTGGGAGACAATGGTAGATGTTTCTCTCTCACATCAATGTTTCTCTCTCTCCACCTTCCTTCTTCTCTCTCTAAAAAATTAATAAAATCATTTCCTCAGGTGAGGGTTAAAAAGCAAACAAATAAAAGAATCAACCAATGAATGCATAAATACATGGAACAACAAATTGATCTCTCTCTCAAATCAAATTTTAAAAAAAATTTCTATGTCAAGATGGCATATTTTGGGGAAGCATATTCTGAACACTGTCAGAAGGGAGGGAATTTGTTTAGGGTCCTTACTTGGGTTGTGAAAATAAAGGTGAGAGTTTATAGTAATTAGAATATCCTTGATAATTTATTTCTTTTTGAACAATTACATATATATAAAAAAGACACCTAAGTAAGAGAGAATCATTCCATCAGGAAAGGTAGATGCCAATGCAGAAATGCTGCTGGCGCAGTGCCTGGAGTCATAGCGGTGGGGTGGGGGCATTGCCAGTCACCTGGAGTGAGCTGGAGGCCCAGGAAGATCATCCCACTTTTCTATAGAAGGGCCCAAGTAAATATGTCTCTCTTCTTCGCGTCTGGTTCTTGAGTAGGGGCAGCTGGGGATTGAGAAAATGAAAGAAAGAGACAGACACAGAGATGGAAGAAAAAAGCTGGGGCTGGGTGGGACCACTGTCCTCTGACTGGGACAGGGACAGAGACAGAGACCCAGAGCCAATACAGCGTGTTTATTTTATACAGCAAAAAAAAGTAAGTTTTACTAAAAGTCAAGACAAAGGAGATTATGTGCATTCTTGGGTGGGCCCCAGTCGTATTCATTCCTGGTACTTGGCTGGATTTAAATAACAAAACCTACTCTCTGACACCTGGGCTGAAGGTCAAGCTGACAACACTCCTGCCTTTTGGCAAAACGTGTTTCCAGGACGTGGCTTTGCCAACAACGCCACTGGCTTCAGCTGACAATAATTAAAGAAATGCCCATGTGCCTTCCCAGGCGCTCTCTACAGGCCTCGACTGAGGTGTGCAAATTACAAGTCTATGCCAAGAAGGATTTGAATTCTTTTTTTCCTGGTTGATGAGGAATTGAAAATTTCCTGATTCAATGCTGATGACATAGTTCCATATAAATAGCCCAAACCATCTGGACACAATCAGGCCCTTCCTGAACCTGCCTTCTTGGAACATGGACAATATACAATGAGTCTTCTAACAGCCAACTCTGCCTTAGTGTGCAAAAGCATATGAAATTATTCCACTAGCAATGGAAAGACACAGGTACATCCCAAGAGAATATTTTTTTCTGAAGAGAATCTCTGATTGTTACCCATTTCTGATATTGGAGCCATGGAAATATATATGCCATAGATTTGCAGAATTTTTGTTAGTAGATAGAAGTCATTTGTTTTCACCTCTCAATCAGTGAAGGGTTTTCAAGCTAGAGGATGTCAATAACCACTAAATAATAATGAGGTGATGATACCTCACCTTTATGGAGCACATACTCTATGCACAATGCTAAGTGCCTGGCAAAGGTGATCTTATTAAATAATGTGAATAGCTACCATTTCTTGAGCACCTTCTCTATGCCAGGCACTTAATTTACACACATTTAATCCTCACATCATATCAGCAAGCTGAGTAGTATTCTCACTTGCCATTTCGCTAAGAAAGAAACTGAGGCAAGTGAGTTAAGAAATTTATCTGTAAGACAACAGCGTGACTAAGTGGATGAGTCAGGGTTGAGATTCAAATGTTTAACCCCAAGGATGGCCTAGGCACCATGCCGGGGTCCAGCCCCAGCAGTCCAGGGGTTCCCAAAGGTGTGGACGGCGTCGGCGAAGAATTAAGGACACAGAGACAGCGTTCAGGTCATCAGCATAGTTGGGTTCTTTTTCATTGTCCTGTTACAGCTATATTTATACTCCTTGATTCTATAAGCATGCTTCTAAATCATGGTATGTTTTGGGTCCTTTCTTGACCTACAGTTCCTTGTTTTATGTTTATAGTTTCTTATCTGACCTTTGCTAAAAATCTTATCTCTATCTAGCTCTGTTGATTTTAATCCTATCCATCTATTCCAAAGGTTATGGCTAATTTGTTATCTCCATTCCAAGGTCACTACTCTACTGCTCTACTATTAAGCTACAAGGAAGTAACTGAAGGAGATTATCCTATTCTGTGGCTCAAGTAAAGGTTATGTCCTTTTAACCTTGCTGGTGGCCTTCCTTGGGACTGCCCTGCGTCTGCGGGTTCTCATAGGCTTTGGTACTTTCTCTGGTGGGTAGAACCCTGGGGATGTGGGCCTAGCAAGTCCCAAATTTATTGCCAACAGTCTTAGTCTAAGTTCTTCATAAGTAGTACACGGTATTTCTGTAACACTAGGGGGTTTTACTGATTTATTCCCTTCCTTAGTCCCGTTAATCCCTAACTCCAGGGAAACATCCCCACCTGGGGAAACAACCTTTCTCGGGGAGGTGGCCCTGTTTAGAACACATAGCGCTAATAAGGGGAGCAAACATATTAAGAACAGTATGCCATATATGCCAGGTCCCTTGAAACATATGCTGTGTGGATGTTTCTTCCCTGCAGCGACTGTGTCAAGCAGCAAGGATGGACTGGCTTTCGGCAGCACCAGGCAATCAGACTGTCTCGAGCAAGGGAATGTCCCTGAAAAGAGTAGCTCGCACATGTTTGTGTCTTTCCACAATGCCAGGTTTATTAGGGGAGACCTCCCCAGTAAGCCAATAAAGTCACATGCAAGTTATACACAGAACGGGGGAGCTATTGGTTCTATTTCTCTGGAGAACCCTGACTAGTCCAGAGGGTAATGCCTTAGGAGGCTGTTGTGAGATTAAATCTATGTTTGGTACTTATACACATAGTAGATGATCAATAATTGTTAGCTTTCTTTTTTAAGGCCCTCTGATTTACACTCCTGATATTAGCAAACATAATTCTCACAATAGTCCAAATAAAATAATCTGAGATGAACTCTACTTACTCTCCCAAGCATAATTCTTTAGTTCACTCTCAAGGTGATCTGGTCAACCCCAGCATCTTGCCCTGGGACTAAAACCTTTGCATATTCCTGGCTTCAATTTATCTCCTCTCAGAATAGAATCTCACACTGCAACCACCACCCCAACTGAACTGAATTAAGTATTTCTATTTTCTTGCTTCCATTGCTTAAATGTATATACCTACTCTGTGGCAGTTGCATTTAATTTGTAATTGTTCATTTGCATGTCTATCTTTCCACAGCATTGTTTCTTTAGGAAGAGGACCAGATCTTTTCGTCTTAGCACCCCTCAGAGCCCAGCATAATTCTCCACATATTATAGATGCTCAGAAACTAAGCAGAATGAATAAGAGAATGAATGAACAGTTTGAGTCTCTAGTTCTGCAACATTGATTCCGGCTACCTAGACTGACTTCTTTCTCCGTTCCACCTTTTCCCACCCTCCAGACCTCAGGACACCACACAGGTTCTCACTGTCGGGACAGACAGACACACTCCAAAAACAAACCACATGACACACACAGCACAGAGGCTTGAGAGCATGTTCCTCTGAAATGAAGTGGGTCTTAACTGAGTTCTGAGAGAGAGAGAGAGAGAGAGAGAGAGAGAGACTGGAAAGAAATTTTCAATTCCAGGTTTGGTTTCACAGGCAGCAAGAACTTTTAAAAACTGCTTCCAGAACAGAAGGCCCTGTTTCCTAGTGCATCACAGGAAAGGAACTTTGATTTAAAAATAAGATAGTAGCAGAGCCCAGAGAGTTGGAGAACCTTTCACTTATTCTGTTTTGGGAGACTGGCCAAAATGAAGGAATGATGCTGAGTGGATGTGCTGATAAGAAGTCTCATCCCATCATTGTTTATATATTTTTTAGCTTGAGGGTCTGAGATCCTTTTAAGAATCGAATGAAAGGAAGAGGCTATCTTGCTAGAAAATACGTTTATAGGCTTTGGCCTGGCTGGCACATGTTTCTGTCGGCCTTGCACGCTTTTGAAGAAGTACATTTGCCTGGCCGAGCGATTTTCAAGTCCCCGTGGCGCCTTTCAAGAGCATTTCTAACCACCACACCCCCGGCCACCAGCACTCACTGAACAGACCAGGGCTCGGGACTTGGCCTCTGACCAGGCAGGACGGGGTAGCACCGCCCCCGAGGCCGTGACCCCACCACAGGGCCTCCCCTTCCGGTCTCCACAGCCCCAGGATCCGGCTGAGCACCTCAAGCAGCCTGGCCTGCAGGGTCGGGCTTTGCCTGTCACCCGGGGGGATGGGGTAGCCCCGCCCACGAGGGCGGGTCTCCAGGATGGAGCTTCCGGTTCCACCTGGGTCGAGTAACACTCCCTCCACGTTCTGCGTGGAGTAGGGTTCGGTATCTGAAAGTGGAGCCGCACAACAAATGAGAGAAAAAGACCGAGATAATTTTTGCAATATTGGGGGACCAGGCGGGCAAGTCCCGAAGGACTTCCACCCATGCTCAGGCTGCTCCAATCTTTTATTGATCTGGAGTAGCCCTTAGGGTAAGGAAGTTTCAATGACACACAGACCAGCAGACAATTTCCAGGAGTAGACAAAAGTATCTGATTAACTCATCAATAGATTTCCAAGTGTAGGCAGAGTAACTGATTAGCTTATCAATAGATTTCCGAGTGTAGGCAGAGTAACTGATTAACAATAATCAACAAGGATCTACATAACTATCTAAGGAATTAAGGGAACTAAGGTGGGGATGCTTCAACTATTATTACC